CTCGCCTTTCTGCCGTGTTCCGCTCGCCGCGGTTTTCTCTATGGCCATGTTTCGTGTGCTGGTAGTTTAGGAGCTCCGCCGGTTATCGGGCTGCTCGCCCTGGGGCGGTGTTGTGCTGCGTAGGGAGCACTTGAAGCTCAAAGGAGAGTAAGTATCTCCCTCCGAGTGCTCATGTCTGCAGCAGGTGCTCTGATCTGCGTGGTGGTGCCCGCAGATTCCTTGTATGCGTCTCTGCGGCCTCCTAGGAGTAAAAATTGTAGCCTGTAACTGCAAAGGGCTGCCCAGGCTGCTGGATCCTGCCGCCCCTTCAGCTGCAGTTCCTCAGCTGTGGGGGCTTGGGGTAATTTCCAGTCACTTCTGCCCTCCTGTGGTGAGGGTGAGAGATAGCTGTGTGTTGGATGACCTGTGCAGCCCGGTGAAGTAAAACTTGAAACAAATTTACTTGAGTTATGGCTTGCCATCTGATACTAAGATCTGTTAAAACTCAGATCTTGGACTACTTTGCTACAGTGGAGAAACTGAGGCAAAAGATTGGAAAATACTAAGCAAGCTCCTCACTTAAAGCTTGCAGAGGAAAAGATAACACTTTGTACTACTACATCTTTGAAGCTGTTTTCGTTGTGTATGCCTGGCAGCCTGGTAAATGTGGAAGTGAAGAGTACATGTGTGGCTATGTTTTGGTTTTTAATTTTTAGCCTGCAAAGGAGGAAGAGATTGACTGGATATCAGTCACTCCTTCAGTAAAACTTTCCAAGTGCCTTTTCATTTCAACTCTTAAATCATGAGATCATACTCTTTAGTAATGCATGCAAGGACTGAAAACAGAAAGCTACTGATGACTAAATGAATTTCATATTAAGAACTTCTGTTTTATATTTCCATTGTGTGATCGTGCATCTGAATTATATTGTTTACTATGTCAGCCTCTAATTATAGTCTCTTTAGGAAGAATAGGGACAAAGAAGGGCAAGTGGTGTGTTTACTTATGGTGGGAAGATCTTAAACACTAAAAGGTCTAAAACACTCTTGCTTTGAGCAAGCTCTCTGAAGTACAAATGTAAGTAATGCCTAAAATGTCTAAGAAGTAATTGTTTCAGTGTTTTAAATGGAGACTTAGATGTTCTGCGCAGCAGAGTGATTTCTCTCTTTAAAAGACTCTGCCTTAATAGAGGAATGAAGCGGACAATTATAAATAGAGACAGGTGATCCCACTCCCATGAATCATTTGCTGAAGGTGCCTGGTGACTCTTCTCAAATACTCTTGCAGTCAAATTCTGTCATATCTTAAGTGGGCTTAAGTATTTCTTGACTAGCAAGCTGATTTTTGAAGTTGTCATTAGATAAAGAAGAAAACAGCCATTTTGAATAATGATTTGATGAATCGCTTTAGTTTTGGAGGCTGGACATGGACTTCCTAATCAAGCAAGCTGAGATATACTGACTCTTCCTTTTGCTAGTGATGCAAAGGCTCTGTAGAGCCCCTTAATAGACCAAGTAGACTTTGTATCGCGTTGTCCCAGAGCTTTCTCCTCATTTTCAGCTGGTGTGTGAAGTCTTTTCTCCATTTTTCCTTTCTCACATGGTCTTCTGCTATAACTTCAGTGTGCCAGGCTAGTTGGGGATTCAGTAGTAAAATGGAAAGGTGTGTCAAAACTGAGATGTGTTCCTTTAAGGGCTGTGTGTGTGTGTTTTTAATAAAAAGGGTTACAGTAACTGCTGCTGTGTGATCCTAAACTAGGGATTGACTCCAGCAGGAGAAGTGGCTACCTTTGGTAGCCATGGGTGCTTTGCAAATTGCCCTGAAAGTCATGTCTGAGGTTGAAGTTCATTATGCAAATCTGCACTCAGTAATAACCAAGGCAGGTGAGCAGCTGAGCTGAATTTTGAAACCTGTGAAACTGAGATGCATAATGGCTGTATAAGAAGTAGGGCTGTAGTTCACTGTCAATTTGTCAAATGACAGTCTGCAGTTGCCTTCACTAGGCAAAGCCCTATGTGTAGAAGGATTGAAAAAATGGCTTTTTTCAGAGGCAGCGGGGCTAGAAGAAGAAAAGACAGTTGTACCTCCTTGCAGCAGGAGGAGAGGGATGAGAACTTACTTTATACCTGCGTCTCAAACTCGTTGTAAAGCTAAGCTGCCTCTGAGCAGCCTTTATAAGCACAGTTGGACTTGTGCTGCTTTATCCCAAACCAAGAGATTTCAGCATATAAACTGATGCATAGTTTGTGTGTACAGTTAAGCCTCTCAGCTATAGAAACAAAGCACTCCTAGAAGTGTTGCAGATTGCCGTTTCCTTTTGCGTTTTCTCTTAACCAAAAATAAGGTAATTAAGCATTATTACTTCACTGCATCAACTCTATTGAAAGTTACTGCTTCGTTATACCCTTCCTCTGTATAATGGAGCATAATGCCTTTTCTGACCCAGCAAATCTGTTCAGTGTTCTATTAGCTTGTTGTGATAGCAGACCTCATCTTACCAGATGGAACCTGTGTTAAATGCCCTTGGTTTCCAGTAATCGGAAAACTGATGGAATGGGAAATGCCCTTAAACATGACCTGAAGTACAACCCAAACTTCGGAAGTGCACAGTGTTGCCCTCAGTGGGTTGCAGACCTTTCGGTTAATATTCAGTGATGTTACAGTTATCTAGAACAATTCAAATAGATTGTACTGAGGTAGCAGTGAGTTGTTGTGACTCCTGGTATTGTCCACCTGACCTCTGAGTGTTTTACTGTGCATAAGTAGGGTTTTTTGCTCTATGGGGATAAATATAAGTGGCAAGAAGGTAAAAGCTCAGTTGGCAGCTAAGTCTTCAGTATTTTATTTTCTCCCACAGGACTTCTATGCTGCAGAACCAACCTGAAAGGCACTATGGAGTTACCTCTCCAATTAGCTTGGCTCCTCCTAAGGATATAGATTATATTCATACTCAGAAGTTAGTTGAGGCAATGAAGCCATTTGGGGTGTTTGAAGATGAAGAACAACTGAATCACAGGTATAAGAAGACTGTAAAATTGTTAATCTGTGTGTTTTTTTTTTTTCTTAAGAACAAATCTAATGCAATTTTTCTTTACAGACTTGTTGTTCTTGCTAAACTGAATAACTTAGTCAAAGAATGGATTTCAGAACTTGGTGAGAGCAAGGTAAGGATTTTATAAGTTCTTACCAAAACAACTGTTAACCTTTTTATTTCTTGTGTCATACTACTAGAGCTTATGCTGAAGTTCAGCTTTTGATTTTTATTTTTTTATTTTTTTCCCCCTCTTGTATATAAAGTAGAGTGGTAGTAACATCATCGTAATAAGGAATGAAAGATATTTCATATCAGGATCTTGCAGTTTTTAGGGCAGAGAATGAATTCGTAAAGTGCCTTTAGCAACAGCGCACAAACTGAAACAACATTGTGGCATGAGGTAGATGATAAACTGGCAGTGTCTTTCAAGTAATTTTCCAGTGTTTAAAGCACTGAGTCAAATTAAACTATCTCGCTTAGATTGTGTTAACCTATGCAAGTCTTCTGCAGAGTAAACTAATGATAAGCTTCAAATCCTATAAATTAATAGGATTGCTACATTCCTTGTACATTTCTTGAATTGCAAGCACTTGCTTTAGAAAAAAGTAACAATCTGGATTAACAAGTCTACCTATGTAAAGACCCATTTAAGCAGAGTGGTATATCTTTTTCTAGATAACTTAAGTGTTGCTGGGATCTTCCTCAAGTACTAAGGAGTTACAGGCTGTGATTTATTAAGAGCCTAAAAGCTGCAGCTGGGTGTTAAACAAGCTCATGTCAGTTAAGTCTGCATGTAGTTCAATATGTATCTTGTATTCTAAAGTAATTTTTTTTTTTTTTTACCCACAGAATCTTCCCCCTTCAGTAGCAGGAAATGTTGGTGGCAAAATATTTACATTTGGTTCTTACAGACTTGGAGTACACACCAAAGGTAGAATTTTAGTTGTCTGGTTGTAATATCAGTCTTCAAAGTTGCTAGCTACATTAACTAATGAAATGGAATATCTCTTTCCAGGTGCTGACATAGATGCTCTTTGTGTTGCTCCTAGACATGTGGAAAGATCAGATTTCTTTCAGTCGTTCTTCGAAAAGCTAAAGCACCAAGAGGAAATAAAAAATCTAAGAGTAAGCCTTTTCCTTTATAGACTATACAACTTGTGCAAGTAACAAGAATATTCATGTTCAGCATTCATGGTGGTACAGACCAAAATAAGCTTTCGGTTCCTGTTCCCAATGACTACATGATTACATCATAGAAGTCTTTGCTGTATGCTTATTCCCTGCCTAAAAAAGATATGGGGATGAGTCATCACTGTAGTAAAAAGCAAGCTTATACCTCAGATCCCTGCAAAACTTAATGACTGAGGACAGCCTGAGAACTCAAGCAGGTGAATGTGGAAAGGCTTCTGCCAGTATTAGAGTTCCTCTGGATGTTATTCAGGACCCCTAAATCATTCTTTTCCAGTATTGTTCCTTTCTAGATACTCCAGCCTGAGACTTTGCTAGTGATCCATGTCAACAGCTTTACAGGAAGTCGGTAGGAGTTGTGCTGTCAATGTGTAATAGTAACTGCTTTGTAAAAAGCATCTTCAGGGTGCTGCAAATCTTGCATGCACATCTAAACTCCTGGCCTATCAACTTCTGACCATAAAACAGGGATATTATTCTAGAGTTATACAAATTCCGTGAGGAAAAGGGAAGTGAAGACACTCTTCAAATCCTGAAGGTGCAAATTACTCTGGTGTCTAGGGAAAGCTTGAGGGGAAACTGCTAGATTATTTATCCTGCAAAGGAGGTAAGATATTCAAAGTTTTGTCTGTAGGGCTAGGGCTAATCACGGTGAATGTTTTCTTAATTGCAATATGGTGGCATGCTTTCATAGCTAAGCTGTGAAAAGTTTTGTAACTGGGTGGCTTTTTTGAAAGAGATAGCAGGTAATACTACAGGTGTTACAAGAACTCAATTTATCATTAGTTGTCATTATAGTTAAACCAGCTGCCTAGTCCCTGTTCCCCTCAGGGTGTCAGATGCTTCCCTTTCATTTTTTTTAACTGGCATTTAATGGAATGCTGCATAGCTTTGATCTTGTCTTGTACTCTTCATGTGGCTCTGTTTCCAGATGCTTGCCCAGCTTATCTTGTTGCATTTCAGATAAGACTGTTTCCTCTAATTTTTTTTTTTTTTTTTTAAGCAATACTAAACTCTAGCTGTTAGGCTCTCTATATTGAATGCACAGGCTTTCTTTGGGATAAGTGACAACTGCTTGACTTGGTTCAGGTTCATTTTGATAGACAAAGTTAGAAGTGTCTGCAGCTTCCTGCTGCAAGCTTGGGAACAAGGTGTGCAGTGAAGCCTGTCTCCAAATTCCCGTAAGGCAAAAGTGTTCCTCTGGGCTAGCCTTCTCTTTAAGTTTTTAAGTTCTTTTGAAAAGGATCCATATATAAAGCTAATGAGCTTTTGTTCAAATGACCCCTAAAAATGGGGTCTGTGGAACAAATCTAACAAGTGATCTACTCTGATCGTGACAAAATCAAAAACTGTCCAGTAAGATAGATGCTAGTTATTTCAGGCATGATAGGAAACAAAAATATGGGTGACAAGTGCACGCTGTCAAATGTGCACTTTTGTAGTTCCTCTAGATGTTAGGCTATAGTAAGGTAGCTGTAAATCTTTCACTTGTTTTTGTCACTGCCTAGCTAAGTATCACATGAGTGTTGACACTAGTGGCTCATTGTGCAGTGGTTGTTAACCAAGGCATGATAACCTCCAAGCCTGTAAGCTACATAGCTTTTTAAGCTACTATTAGTATGATGCTGCCTGTTGCTTATAAACAATTGTGACTCAAATTATAACTGACAGCTCTAAGTCTATATACTGAGTAGTTAAACTACTTGAACTATTTTATTCTAGTCTAGAAAGAATGTGAAAACAGGGTGCTTTCTTACACTTTCTCTTCACAGGCAGTTGAAGATGCATATGTCCCAGTTGTCAAGTTTGAATTTGATGGCATTGAGGTAAGAATCTTATTGTTCTTTTAATGAGTACATTTTTTTTTTTGAACTTGTTCTGTAGGTTATGTAGGCCTAATCAAGTAGTATTTATTTCACATGTATGTTCTGACTGAGAATGGAAGGAGTGTTTTTTGTGTGGTGTGTGTGTTTTTTTTTTTTTTTTTTTTTTTTTCTCCTTTCCTCTGACAAGATAACTTTCTTCAAAGGGCTAGGGCTTTTTTTCTAGTGTGTGTATGCTATATTATTGAGGCTAATCTCTTCCTTGCAAGAACAAGGAAGCAGTTGCAAGGTGAACAGTATCTGGAAAATGAAAATAGTCAAATGACAATCCTATATGCCTAGATTTTTCAGCAGTTGGAGTCTTCATCTCTAATAAATATTTACAGTAAACGTTTGTGTGTTATAGTACTAAGCAAGTTACTGCACCAGTATTCCTGTCATGAGGTCACTTTACTAATAAAGACATAACAGTTGTCCTGTAGCTTCACTGTGCTAATAAACATGCTTCAAGATCAGAATAACTTGGTTCATAAGGAAAATGCTCTCTTTGAAGTAGAATTGAGATGGTTGAACCTACACTTAGCCAAAGTAGTATGATGCAACTTCCTTTTTAAGTGAAAATTCTAAACTTAGAATGCTTTTTAAAAAGTTAAACTTCATTTGGTTTACAAGTAGGTGTGATACGGTGTAGTTCATGTGAATAAAGTATAGAGCTTCTAACAACTTGCTCAAATTTTCTGGCAAATGCCTCTTTTGAGC